AGCATATTTCAGACACAGGGCTTGGAGCAATTGAGCTGGAACTGACCTGGAAGCTTCCTTCCCCAAAACTATCTCTCATAGTATCCAAAGATACTATCCAAGCTGCCAAGGTACAAAACCAATCAATGATCCTACCCAGTTGTAAAGCCTACAAACCACAATGATTGGCTCAACAAATTATCTCTATTTCTGCAATAGTGGCACTTTTATACTGGGGGTAATTAACAGCTAATTGGACTTAAAGCCCATTCAATAGAGGAAATTCATGTATGGTACTGTAAACATATTACATATGGTTGGAGAGGTCATAGACTCTAGAGAAAAACCAACTTCTATCACTTCCCTAGACCAAGGTAATTTCTTACTATGTTCCAAATACATATCCTTATATTTACAGACCTTGTCAACCATCCTTTTTCCTGTCTTTAGGAATTTGACTACTCTTTGTACCTAACATAGTATGTATCCCTTTGTATGTTTGGTTTGTTTCACTTGGTATAGTATCTCCAAGTTTCCATGCTGTAACATGTACACAAATTTCCTTCTTTCTTGAGACAGAATATTGTTATATGAACATACCACATTTTGTCCATTCATCCACTGATGAACAGTTGAATTTCTTTTACTTTTCATCTTTTGAGAATAATGCTCTGTGTCCCCTGCTTCCACTTCTTTTAGGTAATTTATATTAAATAGTTTATACTTCATAGCTGCACCACTTCGCACTCTCATCAGCAACATACAGGAGGAGTTCTAGTTTCACTGTATCCTTGCCAACATTTTTGGTTTGTGTTTGGATAAGAGCCATACCAATGGGTGTGTTCTAATCTTACTTCCTTTAGTTGGCCTTTTCATATTATATCCAAGAAATTATTGTGAATCCAATGTAACAAATCTTCTGCCCCCGTAATTTCTTCTAAAAGTCTTATCATATTAGCTCTTATATTCATGTCTTTGATATATTTTGAGTTCTTCTTTTTGTAAAATGGAGAAAGACAAGAGGTCTTTCCATGAATACAGATTTCCTTTTCTCTTCTTTCTCCTCTTCCCTCCCCACCTTTCATCTTCAGATGATTTTTTTCCCCCTTATATACTGGTGTCTTTAAAGTTTGGAATGGTTTGGGGGGGGCGGTGTTTTATAGTTTTGGTTTTTGTCTACTTCCCACTTGGTTTAGGTTATTCCTAAAATTTTGGTTTTCTTTTTCAGATTGTTCATGGCTAATATATAGAATTTTACATCATTCATTCATCCATCCATCCATCCATCCATCCATTCAGCATTCCCCTCTAGCCCCGGAAGGCCTGAAACTCACTATGCAGACTAGGCTGGCCTTGATCTCACACAGATCCACCTGCCTCAGCCTCTAGAGTGCTAGGATTACAGGCGTGTGCAAGCCAGGCGCGTGGCATACACCTTTAATCCCAGCACTTGGGAAGCAGAGGCAGGCGGATCTCTGTGAGTTCGAGGCCACCCTGGTCTGCATAGTGAGTTCCAGGCCAACTGGGGCTACAGGGAGAGAAAAAAAAAAAAAAAAAAAAAAAAAAAAAAAAAGTGTGTGCCACCAGGACTGGCTGCTGTGTTTTATTTATTTTTAAACAGGGTATTGCTATGTATCCCAGGCTGACTTAGAACTCATGATTCTTCTGTCTTGACCTCTCCATGTATTGAGATTACAGGCATGTACAACTACCTGCTTTTCAATTTACTTTTCTTTTTATGCTGTATATTGAACTTTTGCATGTTGATTTGGTATACTCTAAAGAATGTATTCTAACTGGTTATGTGTACAAACTGCAGGATTTTTCATAAGTGATCATGTTTGAAAATAAATAATTTTATTTCTTTCTACACAATTTCAATGCCTCTTTACCTTTTTTCTTGTCTAACTGCTCTGGTTAGGACTTGGTACTATGTTGAATACTATGTTGAATAGGAATGGTAAAAGTATATACTTGATGGAATAAAGATAAAATACACATTACTAGTCATACTCCTCATGATTGGGCTGTAATTTATTTTTGTAGCAATTTTTTCCACAACACTTCATCATTCTTTATGGAGTCGCAGGACCATCTTGTGGTACACATAAAGCATTAACATTCCCTCACTTCTTGTTTGTGTTTTTTACTATCTTAATATCTCCCCACCCCCTCACTCATAGAGGAACCATGTTCCCCAACTTACACTGTTCTTAATCTTAGCCTAGATGTTGTTTTGAAAAGAGCTGACTTGATCTACAAGGAATGAGATAAATGACTCTGCTTTGTGCCATATACTATCCTGCCTAACTTTTATTGTACTACTTGAGATAGAAGGATAACAGCCACTGATTCTTTTTTCTGTTTTTTATTATCTATTTGAACTTTTAAAAGTTCCTTAAGGATACAAATGATGTTTTATTTATTTTAGCATTCTCAAAACCCATCAAGGGTGTAGTACATAGGAAATTGAATAAATGTATAAAATAAATACATCAGAATACCTTGAATTTAAAATAGAAGAACAGCCAGGCGTGGTGGCACATGCCTTTAATTCTGGCATCCAGGGGACAGAGGCAAGTGGATCTACATAACGGGTTCCAGGCCTACTGGGGTTGTGGGGAGACACTCTTAAAAGTACCAAAAAAAGAAAAAAAAGAAAAGAAAAAGGTAAAAATAGAACAAGTTTTTCTTTATCCATTCTTCAGTTCTTGAGTACCTGGCAAATGTTAACTTTCAAAAATATCAAAAAATTCCCCTTTATTTCTCTGGGATATATGCTAATATAAACAATGGCTTCTTCCGTGGTAAAAGAACAGGCTAAATTATCAGCAAGAAATTCCTGTTTCTGGGGCTGGAGAGATGGCTCAGCAGTTAAGAACACTGACTGTTCTTGCAGAAGACCCAGGTTCAAATCCCAGCACCCACGAGGCAGCTAACAACTGTCTGTAACTCCAGTTCCAGGAGATCCAACAGTCTCTTCCATCCTCTGTAGGCATTGCACAACATGGGTGCATTTCCTATGTGCACGCAATACACGTATACACATAAAATAAAATTAAAAAATATATAAAATTAAAAAAAAAAAAGAAATTCCCGTTTCTGTCTTAATCTCAAAACACCTTAACATTCTTCTTACTTAGTTCCAAGTTGTATGAAATTCAAATAGAATTGTCAAAAGTCTCTCAATGAATCTCACTGCAAAATAGGAAAAATAAAATCTAGGAGTTTTTTTTGTTATTGTTGTTCATTTCTGCATTCTGTTTTGTTTTGTTTGAGACAGGGTCTCACGATGTAGCTCTGGCTGGCCTGAAGCTTGCTATGTAGACCAGGCTAACCTTGAACTGAGAGATCCACCTGCCTCTGCTTCCAGAGAGCTGGGATTAAAGACATGTGCCACTAAGCCTGGCCTCATTTTAGTAATTTTTGAAAGCCCTGCCATATGCCTCTCTTCTCCCTAAGTCATCTAAAATGAGAAGACTTATATTCTTTAAGTTCATTCATATAATGGAGTAATTCTTTTACAAACCAAGAGAAAAATGGCCAAGAATAAAAGTGTAAATATTTTCTGTAGAATGCAGAGAGGTATATATAACAATGTTTAATGGTTGATATATCACCCTAAAGAAGGAAATTGTATAACTGATATACTGTATTTATGGAAAGACCAAAGGATTTCAAAGTTAGCATATTTCTTTAGACTTCAATATTTCATGGGCTAGCAAAAAATTTTTTTCCTCATGTGTGTGCCTGAGATTGATGTTGGATATTTTCCTCAATCACTCTCTTCCTTATTCACTGAGGCAGAGTCTCTCAATAGGATCTAGAGCTCACCAATACAGCTAATCTGGCTAGCTGGCTTGTTCTGAGGATTCCCTATCTTAGCCTTCTGCATGCAGGAATTACAGGCAGGTTGCCATGCCCACCCAACATTTATATGGGCTCTGGGAATCCAAACTCTGGCCCACATGCTTGCCTAGCAAGTGCTTTAATCTCTAGCCCTTTAAAAAAAAATTTTTTTTTTTTATTTTGGTCTTGAGGAACCCATGTTAAGATCCCCTACTTTCAACAGCCAGTGGAAGAATAAGTTAACTTGGTGGAACTCGGGCTGTTACCATCACAAAGGCCTACTTGCAAAGTTGATCCTGGATGTCATCTGGGAAATTGGCTTTGTAAATATTTCCAATGGATAAGGTTGTAACTGCTCTGCCAGCCTACACTGCACAAATAACATTTATGGTGATGTCTACTTTCTCTGAGTATGAAATTTTGGTTGACACATGGTATCTATGAGGCCAGCTCTGAATTTGAGGCAATCAAACAAAACAAAACTCTGAACTCTGAAGTAGAATTCCTTATGCTCTGCACACATGCAACAGAATTTGTGAAGCTGGAGGGAAAGTGCATAGGAAGACTGACACAGATTTCTCTAGATTCCTCCAGACAGCTTTTTCAAACATGGTCTAGGTATGAACTTCCATGTCACTGAGGCAATTTTTCCAAAATGGTCTAGGTATGAACTTCCATGTCACTTTCCATGTCACTGAGGCAATTTATAATCTTCTGTTCTATTTTAACTATCATGAAAAATGGAAGACTAAGAATTAATGGCAAATTTAGTTCCAGGATACTTTAAGATTTAAGAGTCTTCCTGTTACTCAAATAACAATTTGAAAAGAAAAGGCAACACCGAAAGTGATAAATGTCCTTCAGTTTGTCATAAAACTTTAAACAACCATTTCTTCCTTATATGAGTAATTGATATTTAAAAATTACATGAGGAAACATGTTCTTTCTTTCCTAACCATAATCACCTTAAAAGGAATCCATCAAATCAACTTTTCCCATAGGCCACAATATGTTTTTAAAGGGCAACAAATAAAAAACCGTAAATTTCATTCATTAGCACACTCTTATGTTATAATAATTATAGTTCTCCAGTTTCCAACAATCTAACATTCTCAATTCTCAAATTCCATTTACCAGAATAAAGAACAATTTTCAAATCCAGAACCACACACCTTTTGCTGTAGCTCTCTTACTGCGGAATCTCTATCCATGCATGCCTGTCGGAAGGCTTCATATGCTTTATTGAGCTGCTCACCAATGTTTTTATCCATTCCTCTTTGTCCTGTAGCATCACTATAAAGGAAGGAGTAAATGCCAGATCTGGAAAGTATCAGAACAATTTAGATAGTTATTAAAGTCATACAAATTTTATTTTAAAAATATTTTATTATTTATTTTTATTTTATATGTATGAGTGTATTGCTTGAATGTGTGTAAGTGCATCCATGTTGTGCAATGGCTGTGGAGGTCAGAAGAGGGTGTTGGATCCCTTGGAACTGGAGTTACAGATGGCTGTTAGCTGCTATGTGGGTGCCAGGACTCAAACCCGGGTCCTCTACAAGAGGAACAAGTGCTCTTAACCACTGAGCCATTCCTCCAGTCCCGTAAAGTTATATAAATTAAAAAAAAAAAATGCATCTTTCAGATGGCCCTATGAGACTTAACATAAACATTTTATCATCAAGCACTGTAAATACTTACAAAGGCACAAAAGTTTCATCTAAAATCATGACTTGAAATATGAAATCTATAATTTGAAAATATTCTTTATTAATACTTCAGTTCATAAATCAGGGTCCAGTTCATACAAATGCTACTTTGAGAATAGTAGTCTATAAATGTAGTTGAAAAATATAAAAGAGCATGTAATTATTAATACATTATAGAGATGTACAACATGATTAGCAATGTGGGAAGGGATTTCTTTTTACTAAATGGACAGTTACTCCCACTTACAAGGTGAATTCTTGCTACACTGAAATTAGAGGAAAATTAAGTAGATAATAAATGTTTGTAGATGGAGTTCACACTGTTGTTATCACAGAGCAATTAAAATGTGTGAAAATGCTCTTATTTTAGCACAAAATCTAGGGAGAGTTGCTGTTGGATTGTACATTAAAAAAAGAAAAATCATATCCCTTCAGTCTCAACCCCACTACCTATTAGTTTCTTAACTTCCCTGCTGTTTCTGAACTACAGATGATTTTCTCAGAGGAGGTAATTTGGTTTTATCATCTCAGTTTGCCTAACATCTCTGACTGTATTCCTTGGCTCTGAGCAGAGCAAGCTACTTAATGATCCTGATTCTTCCTGTGCATTTACAAAAAACACAACCCAGAACCTTTCTCTTGATCTTCTAAAAGACACAGAAGAGGCAAAAATCTTAATTGGTTATCAAGGGTACCAAATTATTTCATTTTGGGGGAAATCTCAATTTAAATTTTTTACATTTATTTATTTTAGGCACATATGCATGCCACCGTACATGTGTGGAGGGCAGAGGACAATTAGTGGGAGTTCCTCTTCTTCTACCATGTGGGTTCCAAGACTGAACTCAGATAGGCTTGGTGGCAAGGATCCTTACCTGCTAAGACATCTTGCTGGCCCTAATCTCAACTTTTAGTCTGTCAGAGCATCTTTCAATTTAGGATGCAGAATACTTTAAAATTTTAAAAATCATTTTTATTTTAAATATAATTCACATAAGATAAAATCTAACATTTTCAAGTATATATCTTTATATATACTTCAGTATTTTTAATGTATATGCTATGTGTGTAGTATAATGAGAACGATTATATAAGTTTAGAATATTTATTATACTAGAAACTCTGAACCTAGCTAGTATCAATTCTCTCCATCCCCCATCTCCTAACAACCACTAACTGGCTTCTGTCTGAATGGATTTGCCTCTTTCTGACATTTTATGTAAATAATGTGATAATGGTTGGGGATACAGCTTAGTGATAGAGTGCTTCCCTGCATGCTTATAGGCCCTGGTTCAACCCCAAATACCATAAATAAATAAGTAAACGGAATCATCATACAACACATAGCCTTTATGTGTGGCTTCTTTCATTTAAGATAATATTTCTGAGGTTCATTTATGTTGCACCATATAACAATAATTGATTCCTTTATATGGCTGAATAATATTCCATTGTATGCCTCTGCAGCACATTTTACTTATCCATCCTTCGTTGCTGGACATTTAGATTGTTTCAACTTTTATACTATTATGAATAAAGTTACTATGAACACTTTAATACACATGCTTATGTGAACATGTTTTCAGTTCTCTCAGATATATGGCTAGGAGCAGAGCTGCTTGGTCAGATGATAATTCTATGTTTAACTTTTTGAAGGGTTGCCAAAATGTTTTCATAACAGCTATATGATTTCATATTTCTGCTAGCAAATGCACAAAGGTTCCAATTTTTCCACATCCTTGCTAACACTTCTTATAGTTCATTAAAAAAAAACATAGCTAACCTAATGGGTGTGAAGTGGTATCAAATTGTGGTTTGGATTTTCATTTTCCTAATGACTAATATACCAAGCATGTTTCCATGTGTTTTTTCGGCCCTTTATCTTTGGGAAAAAATTCCCATTCAAATCCTTTGCTTACCTCTTTCAATACTGCTTTCCCTTATAAGCTAGCAGAGGACAGTGGAGCAGCCAACACATAAAGCTATCATTTGCATATGGCTAAAGACCATTGCTTTTGCAGCATCCTAGGCATTGGTATATAGAATAGGGACAAAGGGGCTCTGCCTCTGTTTCTACAGTTTCTTCTTCTCTTGTGGAGAGAGAGTGCTTGTGAGAGGCATGTTCTCAGAGGGAACTGTCACTGATGAAAAAAAGTTTCATTCATTTTCTTGATAGTGTCCTTTGACACATGACATTTTAAATTTTGATAAATTTCAAATTACCTAATATTTTTATTTTCCTACTTGCAATTTCTTTTGGTACCTTATCGAAGGAACTGTTGCCTAACCCAAGATCATGCAGATTTTCATTTATGTTTCCTTAGAAGGGTTTTATAATTTTACTGTTTACATTTGGTTTTTGATCCACATAAGTTAGTTTAGTTTTGTATATGATATGAGGTGGGGTCCAGATTCAGTCTTGACACTATTTATTGAAAGAGTTATTCTTTTCTTGCTCGATGGCCTTGGAAATCTTGTTGAAAATCAACTGATCATAAATCAGTATTTTGGTTTTGGTTGTGCTGGAGATTGAATCCAAGGCCTTGCACATGCTAAGTACACACTCTATTGCTGAACTATAACCCTAGTCCCCACAATGCTCTTTTAAACACATAACCATAAGTAGTACTTCAATGCCAGCAGCCAAAGTCTATCATTTTAAGATACTGAATACATTTCTAAGTAATTTATCAGGCTTAATAAAAAACAATTCAAAGGTTTTAATTACAAGGATCATAGTGTCATTACTTTCTGAAAAACTGAAGGGATAGTAATTCTTTAGTTGTTCTACATAGGAAGTTAGTTCCTATCAATACCTCTGACAGATGAAAAAAAGATGAATCCTGTTAGGATAATTATGTGGCTGGGCCTTCTGTTTGCGAGAAGGTAGTAAAGAAACACAAACAATTAGCATTGATACAAAGTGTCACTGAATATTTTACTTCAATACCTTTTCATTCAAAAAGTATTTAAGGATAGTCTCCCTTGGAGCCTCCCACTCTCAGACGTTCTTTTACCCTTTTCCTTAATCTATGCTTGCTTTGCTCAAGGAAAAAAGTATTTAAGACCATTTACAAAAAAATGAATAAAAGATTAAAAATAAGTGAAAAGAAAAGTATAGGTGGTCACAGGGACTATAACAATATGTTAGTGGAGAAATTTGAAATTTGAAGTTATTTTACATTAAAAAGCTATACATGTCATGGCAATCTGTCAATATAAACCACATCTGTATTTTAAAACACCAACGCTGTGAACTGGAATTCTATCCAGTTTCATGCTTTGTCTATTACTGGCTGACCCTTGGTCAACTACCAAATTTTTGGTGATCAAAGTTTCTTTCTCATCAGTACAAAATGTTTGGCCTAGATTTCTACTAACATCTTTGTTTTACAGCTCTTGAGTCTGTGAGTGAAAAATGCATGTCTAGTCCATCAAAAACATGCATTTTCAATTTAAAAAATGTAATATAAGCTGGGCGTGGTGGCACATGCCTTTAATCCCAGCACTTGGGAGGCAGAGGCATGCGGATCTCTGTGAGTTCGAGGCCAGCTTGGTCTACATAGTGAGTTCCAGGACAGCTGGGGCGACAGGGAGACTCTGTCTCACAAAGACCGGAAAAAAAAAAAAAAAAAAAAAAAAAAAAAACCTTCATCATATGCAAGTTAATCATGCAGACCCTTTACTTTAGGTCCTTGAATTAGGTAACAGACACATCATTAAGAGAAGCTGCTGGGTAAATTCCACATGCATGGGTACTATTTCCTGAAATAATGTATGCCAAGGAAGTAGGTCTTTACTGACGCAAATAAGTAAACGATACATTTAATTCAATCAAAAAGAGAAAAGTATGTTAGATTAGTGACACTGACCACAGGAAAAGGAAAGTCTCTGGAAGCATACATTTTGGTATGCTTTTTGAAAAAACTGTCACTCTCCAAAAAAGTACTTTTTATTTTTAGTAAACATGCTCAAATCCAGGTCTCATGGCCAATCTTCTCCTCTTAGATTTCAAGTACTTCTATTAGCTGTTGTTGAGGTGTCTATGTTCTGGTCATTGACAAATGGATACAAACAAGCTTTCACTTTTTCCACTTTCCAGCCGGATGGCATGCTATGATTATAAGGCACCTAAAATACCATGGAGATTGCAGGACTTCAGAAAAGGAAGAGCAAGAATGAAGAAACTCAGGTGTCTGACACTGTCGAGCTGTGAGAACAGCTCTGGACATCTCATACTTGAATTGTTTTATGCAAAAGAAACCATTTGTCTTGGTTAACCACAGTTTTGTGGGTTTCTAAAAGAGAAGAGCCTATACCCTGATTAGTATAATATTCAAGATAGGTTTAGTGCTGAACACACAGTATATGATGTTTTTCTCTCCAGGAAAGAGACAAATAGTCATGGTATTTACTTTTTTCTCTCATACCTTGTAATGAGGCAGACACATGAAAATAATTAACCAAAGTGGGAGGTCAATTATAAATGTGCAAATAAAAGGGTAGGAACACATTTTGACAAGGATTTTTTTGTAAGACCTCATCTAATGGTTCAGTAGAGTTTTGTGCATTTCAAATGCTAATCATACTTTTTTTTAAAAATGAAGAAGG